TCGGTGAGCCGGGACGGCCACGCGCGGGCGCAGCCGCAGACGCACCGGGACGGTCCTGGCTCACACTGGAGGTTCCGCATCACCCAGCCCTGGTGCTCACATGGCCCCAGCTGCATGTGGAAGACGTGGTGGCACCAGGCAATGCCTGGGACACCACACTGAGAAGGGACACGGCACCCACAGGAACTACTTAGGTCACTCTAGTGCGCACACATGTGCCCACATGCACTCCTGCATGCTAAACCTTGCTCCGTGCCCGTGGGCTGCATGCACCCATGTGTTCACATGCATCCTTGCATGCTAAACCTCACTGCATGCCCAGGGGCTGCATGCAGCCATGTGCCCACATGCATCCTTGCATGCTAAACCTCACTGTGTGCCCAGGGGCTGCATGCAGCCATGTGCCCACATGCATCCTTGCATGCTAAACCTCACTGCATGCCCAGGGGCTGCATGCAGCCTCGCATCCTCCCTCCCGAGAGCTCCGGGCTCGGCCGGCAGCAAGAGGCTGCCCAGCTGGGTGTCCCTTGCAGCAGGCGCTGTGGCACCAGCCCCGCGGTGCTGCCGGGGCCGCGTTGCCCTGCGGCTTGCAGCCGCCGAACAGGCGCGTTTCCTGCATCCGGTGAAACAGAGCAAGGGACCGTGCAGCTCCGCGCGAGCGGCCCCCGCGCCCTCCTGGGCCAGCGCGTTCGCCCCAGCCGAGCGCGCGGCCGGGAGCTGCAGAGCCCCGGGCACGGCTCCAGCCCTGGGCTTTCCTTTCAAAGTCAAAACAATAAAACCAGAAGTCAAAAATGCTTCCAGACACTGGAGGTTTGTCAACCCAGTTAAAAAATAAAAAAAATAAAAAAGGGGAAGGGTGGGGGCAAGGCCGGGATCCAGAGCCTGGAGCTGCTCCAAGCTGCCCACCCTGGCAGTGGGAGGCTGCAGAGGTTTCCATCTGTCCATACAGCCAAACTTTACAGAAATTGCCAATATTGGTAAGAATTATATAGAAAAGAGCATCAGCGTGCCAGCAGGCACAGCTGCCTCAGCCGCTCTGCCCTGCACTCCAGCACAGAATTCAGAAACGAAAACAAATGGTAAAATTCATAATAAATGCGGACTGCATCATCTCCAGAGCGCGGCCCTCCGGGAGCCACCAGCAGGGCCACTCGCTGCAGTGCCCGTGGAGGGACGAGCTGTGTCCACCACCGATCCGCATCCCGCGATCCCGGCGCTCCAGCACTCACCTCCTGCGCCTCGGCCAGCGCCAGCGGCCAGGGCAGTTCCTCCTTGGAGAGCTCCTTGCTCAGCCTCTTGCTCCCGAGGGGGGTCACTCCCAGATTCCCAGCATCTGCAGGAGGGAGAGCCAAAGCCGTCCTGGCCGCGCTGCAGCCCTGCCCGCCACTGCTCAGAGCAGCGAGTCCCCCGCGACCCAGCCCCATCCTGGAGGGATGCGGGAGGAGCGCGCTCCGCTCCACCGCCCATCGCGGTGCTGCCCACGCGGGCACCCCCAAAACTGCAGCTCCAACAAACCAGGCTGGCTCTGGAGACTGCAAGGGGTTGCAGCAGTGTGATGCTTGCTTTCATTTAAAACAAGAAATAACAAAACTTTTTGTCTCTGCGAGCCCGGAGGGCTAATGGAACCACACGCCTGCTATTCAGGTCTTGTCATCGATTTGTTTGAGGCACTTCAGGAAAGAGGCGAGTTCTGCTCTCGCAAGCAGAGCTCGGCGCAGCCGCGTGGGGCTCGCGGAGGGGGATGCAGCGTCCTGAACCCAGCACAGCCGCAACGTCCCGGCCGAGCCAACCCCCGCCACGGATCCCCCTTGGCTGCTTTAGAGATCCTCCTGTAGCCTCGTGAATGTGGCCAGGACTCCGGGCCACGAACAGGAACACAAGCTCCCTGCGCAGCAGCAGCTCCCCGCGTCCCCGGCTGCCCCTCACTCTCGGTGCAGTTTAAGGAGCAAATGGGGCCGCACGGCACACAGCTCCCACACCAGTATCTGCTCCCGCTGTAGTACTTATTTAGGCCATCTGCGCAACTCGCATTGTTGCCTTGGACTTACGGCCAGCAGAAGTTTGTGGTTTAGGGCATATATTTAAGCAGCACCAGAGAGATGGAGCATCTCCCCCAAGTGTCGCGCGGGCACAGCCAGGCAGCACCCACCTGGGGCATCGGGCTTCCCGTTGGCTTCCAGGACAAGGGTGGGCTCGTCCTTACTGGGATTGCTGCAGTCCCCATTGATGAGGATGAGCTCGGCCCGGCAATCCGCCTCCTCCCGGCCGTGGTTCTTGTCCTTTTTCATGCTGGCCTAGGCGAGCAGTGAGCAGAGAGGGGATTTAGCCACACGGAGAGCTGGGAAAGGCGGCAGAGCGGACACTTGGCAGCATCCCGAGCGAGCCGAGCGAGCGCTTCCCAGCAGCTCTCCTGAAGCACCAGGGATGCCTACCCGAGTGTCGGGACAGAGCGAGTGCTGCAGGATAACAGGATCTGGGATCTGGGAATGGCCCCAACGATCCACAATGGTCCAGGCTGAGACCTGCTCATCACTCCCTGAGGGATCTGGGACACTTGGAGAAATCAGCATGCAGGGCAGCACTGGCAGGGCCTGAAGAACCCTCCAGGACCCCACTGGACACTCAGGATCAGGTGGGTCCCCCAGCTTGGGGAAGCTCGCACCAGCAGGGAAACTGCCCCCCCGACGCGGCCCCCCCCCCGCCCACACTCCAGGCATCCTGCTGCTGCAAACTCGGGCGAGCAGCTGCAGCAGGGCCGTGACACAGCGAGGGACGTGGCCGAGGGGCGGCCGCGCCGGCAGAGCCCAGCCGCACGTGCCAGGGGCAGCCAGGGCTGCCGAGCGAGGGGGCAGGACACAGGAGCAGGATGTGCCTCCGGAGAGGAGCCCGTCCTGTTCCCATGGAGCTCCCAGCCCCGTCCTGCTGGGGGAAGGTGCAGGGGCTGCCCATGGGCCCAGGAGCCGTGGTGCTTCCAGGGGACAGCTCAGCTCCCGGGGGAGCGGCGGCTCCCCGGCCGGGGCGATGCTCTGTGCTCAGGAGGGCAGTGCCGGCGCGGGGCCGGTAGGTGCCTGCGGCCACCCCGGGGGCACGGCCGGGCCCACGGGCTCACCTGCAGCACGTGTCCCCATAACAAAGGCAGGAGCAGCCCCGCACAGAGCCCTACCGCTGCTCGCAGAAATCCCACCGCGGCCGCACATCTGGTCCCAGGCGCAGCGAACAATTCCTGGGAACTGCCCAGACTCGCCGGGATGGCGGCCGGCTCGGGGAGGCCTGTGCCGGCGGCACGGCGCACGGCATTGCACGGCGGCCCTGCCTGTCCAGGGAGGGTCTACATGGCGGTGGCACAGTGGGGACAAGGGGAAGGAGGATGAGGATGCCACTGCAAAGGCACCCAGCACCTTCGAGAGAGCCTGCACTGCCTGGCGAGAGCCAAGTGCTTCTCCAGGCAAAGAGAAAACAGCCCAGGAACGCGTCATAGGAAGGAGGGGGACAACGGGAAGAGCCCAGCAGACACCTACGGGATCAGGTCCAGGAAGAGGGACGTGGAAGGGGTTTGCCCGGAGCCGGCTGGATGTTGCCCTGGCGCAGGCAGAGCTCCACACCATGCGGCAGCTGTGGGTCAGGGCCTGCACAGGGGCTTGGACCCAGACGGCCACAATTGGCACCTCAAACGGCCTCCAACCCACAGCAGGAGAGTGGGAGCTGCCACCCGGTGCTGGCCACGGCCCCACTGCAAGAGCCGGGCAAGTGGCCACGGGCGACCGGGGCAGCACGGAGGGTGCCCAGGCCCTGCTCCCATCCCACCCCAGGGACGTGGTTCCAGCAGCTCTCCTGCAAGACGGCAGTGGGACTCGGAGCTGCTGACGGGCCAAGCTCAGCTTTGCCACAAGCCTGGGGAGCTCTGGCTTCAAGAAAAGTTTATTTTTTACTGTTTAGTTGGGGAAAAAAAAGAATAAAATAGCAATTACTTTGACTGGAAGCAACCACTGCACACCCTGGGGCCTTCCCAATGGACACCCCAGCGCCATCTCCCGCGCTGCCAGTGCCACAGGAAGGGCACAGCACAGGCTGCACAGGGCCACCCAAGCCTTCCTGCTCCTGCCACCATGGGTGGTTGCGAGGGCTGAGCCGTCCTGCCCGGTCCCCCCGCGCGCTCCGGCAGGAGCCTTGGAGCAGGCACAGCCGGAGCGGGTGCACGGGCGGGAAGGAGGAATGAACCGCAGAGCAAAGCGGCTCCGCTCCCGGCACTGCTCCTGGCACACCGGGCCCTGCAGCCAGTCACCATTCCATAGGGAACCATAGGGAAGAATTCACCATTCCCAGCTCTGGTGCTTAAAGCTGCCCAAGAGCCTGGCTCTGGCCACAGCCGATGACACCGTGACCAGGCCATTCCCTGTGGCTCTCACGTGAACCTATCCGCTTTGTACAGCCTGCCCTTGTTTTGCAATCCCTGCTTCTTTAGGGCCGGCCAAACCAGGAAAGAGCAGACCCTAACGTTAAGGGCTTTGAGCCCCTTGCCTGGCCAGGGCCCTGGGTTCCTTCTTGCCAGCAGCCCCCGCACTCACCCAGCAGCTCCAGTCTTGGAGCCGGTGCCGGCGGGACCAGCGCTGCTCCCCCAGCCTGGCCCGGGGCTGGTTTCAGTTTTCCCTCTTGAGAAAACAGCATTGCCCTCCCTTATCAGGTGTGTTTCCCCAGGAGGTGGGGAGATTGCAAGGGAGACAGGCGGACTTTGCCTCCAGACACAGCGCGCGCATATCAAAAGGCCGCGGGGAAGCCTTGTCCCTGATGGCCGGGATGGCGGCCATCGCCAAGCCCTGCTTGAATAACAAAAAGAAATAAAGGAGCCCGATCACTGGCTCCGGGCTATCGCAGCACAAATGGCCTTTAACTCGCCCCCCAAACCGAACATTTCCCTCTAATCCTGCAAAGAAAAGAGCTGCTGGGGTGGCAATTCGAGAAGAAAGGGGACCCATCCCAGCAGATCCGCTGGCTCGTTTCCTGCGCTGCCCCCTCTCCCCAGCGCTCCGGCCAGCAGCCCCCGGCTCCGGCACTTCCCTCCATTTTCCCGTTTCCTCTCTGCCCTCCCTGCGCGGCCCCACTCGCGGCACGGGCGCCGCAGCCCCCGGGCAGCCCCCGCCCCCCGCCAGCCCCACGTTTGTGGCTGGGGGCCCGGGCGGAAGGCGGGGCGGAA